ACAAAGACTTACAGTAAACAACCGTACACACACTAATCACCACCTTTACAGTAGATATGTGACACACTTTATACAATTACACAAAGACTTACAGTAAACAACCGTCCACACACTAATCACCACCTTTACAGTAGATATGTGACACACTTTATACAATTACACAAAGACTTACAGTAAACAACCGTCCACACACTAATCACCACCTTTACAGTAGATATGAGACACACTTTATACAATTACACAAAGACTTACAGTAAACAACCGTCCACACACTAATCACCACATTTACAGTAGATATGTGACACACTTTATACAGAAGTTTGTAAATAACACCTAGATTAAGTTACGTACTAAATGAACACCCACACGATAACCACCTCGTTTATTAGTATCTGTCTGTTTGTTTGTTTGAACGCAAAGCCACACATTGGACTATTTGCGCTCTGTTCACCGTGTGGAATGGAACCCAGGATTTTAGTGTTATCAGTCAGTAACTTTACAGCTGAAACTATTCCTAGTGAGATGTAACACTTCCTAAAAGAGGGGCCAGGTGGTTAACGCTCTCGACTCGTAATCTGAGGGTCACGGGTTCAAATCCTCGTCCCACCAAACATGTTCGACCTTTCAGCCGTGGGGGCATTATAATATGACGGTCAGTCCCACTATTCGTTGGTACAAGAGTAGCCCCAGAGTTGGCGGTGGGTGGTGAGGACTAGCTGCCTTCCCTCTAGACTTTCACTGCTAAATTAGAGACGGCTATCACAGATATCTCTCGTGTAGCTTTGCGCGAAATTCAAAACAAAACAAATCAATCCTAAAAGAGGTTGTAATAATTCATGAATACCTTATTGTTAATTCTGTGAACCGATCTCCACACAATAACCACCATATTTCCAGTTAAAGCCAGTACTCCAAGGAACCAGATACAGACTCGTAACACAATGTTGGACATGAGGTCTTTACAAGAGGAAAACTCGTCGGGTGCTGGGTAACATTCGGCGACGTGGGGAGCGAGGCAACAGAAACGGAACTCATCAGAGCGTCTGAAACCAGTAAAAAGCATATATTGTATACCTGAACACGACTTGCAAACCTATAAAAATTATAAGAACAGGTAAACCAATAGGGCGTGATGTTAATATATACCTATGAAATGGTTTACCTGTTCTTATAATATAGGGCGTGATGTTAATATATACTCATGGAATGGTTTACCTGTTCTTATAATGTAGGGCGTGATGTTAATATATACCTATGGAACGGTTTACCTGTTCATATAATGTAGGGCGTGATGTTAATATAAACCTATGAAATGGTTTACCTGTTCTTATAATATAGGGCGTGATGTTAATATATACCTATGGAATGGTTTACCTGTTCTTATAATGTAGGGCGTGATGTTAATATAAACCTATGGAATGGTTTACTTGTTCTTATAATGTAGGGCGTGATGTTAATATAAACCTATGGAATGGTTTACCTGGTCTTATAATGTAAGGTGATATGTTAATATAAACCTATGGAATGGTTTACCTGTTCTTATAATGTAAGGTGATATGTTAATATATACCTATGGAATGGTTTACCTGTATTTATAATGTAGTACGTGATGTTAATATACACCTATGGAATGGTTTACCTGTTCTTATAATGTAGGGTGATATGTTAATATAAACAACACTGTTTTACATTGCGGTATACGTAAAACTACACTGTTTTACACAGCGATATTCCTGAAACTACACTGTTTTACATAGTAATATCCGTGAAACTACATTGTTTTACATAGTGATATCAGTAAAACTACATGGTTTTATATAGTGGTATCCGTGAAACTACATTGTTTTAATAGTGATATCAGTTAAACTACATGGTTTTACATAGTGATATCCGTAAAACTACACTGTTTTACATAGTGATATCAGTAAAACTACACTGTTTTACATATTGATATCCGTGAAACTACATTGTTTTACATTGGTGATATCTGTTAAACTACATGGTTTTACATAGTGATATCCGTAAAACTACACTGTTTTACATAGTGATATCAGTTAAACTACATGGTTTTACATAGTGATATCCGTAAAACTACACTGTTTTACATAGTGATATCAGTAAAACCACATTGTTTTACATAGTTATATCCGTGAAACTACATTGTTTTACATATTGATATCCGTGAAACTACATTGTTTTACATAGTTATATCCGTGGAACTACACTGTTTTACATAGTGATATCCGTGAAACTACATTGTTTTACATAAAAAGTACATTATTTTACTTACAATTTTTTTAACATCATAAGTCCCACGAATATTCGACTCTCCATGTGCGTTACCTTGTTGTAGGTCAAATCTCTGAAAATAAAGAAACTGTTCACGCCTGTTACTTTCTACGAACAGCTGTGATCTTATTGTTAAACATGTATCATTGCATTGGTATACCAGCTGAGGATTCGTTGATGAGAGAAATACGTTTTACATGAATGTAAAAACTTTGGATTAACTCACAATGAAAGTAGCTGGTCCAGTCCGTTGAATACACCATCATTGAGTTTCATCAAATAGTTGTGTGATAAATCACTGTCAGAAAAACAAATACTGTTATTGATGTGGTATTTCAAAAACACACACACAATTATCGTTTTCATGATTCTATGTATTTAAAACTGTTTAGTAGTTTTAACTTTCAAAGACATACTTATAGTACATCCTTCATAGTTCTAAACTCGTGAGAACCCCACATTTAATTAATTAAAGAAAAGACTTACAGGTGGAATAGCGAACGAAGTCCGAGAAAAGCGTTTCGAGATATATTCAAAAGATTCTGATGGCTCAAGTCCCTAAAGGATGAAAAATATGTGTGGATGATACTCTGTGATAAAGTTTAGTACAGTTTGTTGAATGTTGTTTGTGCTTCACTAGAACATACAAATATTATATATAATTTTAAATGAAATATTAAACAAAGTCGCTGGTTATAAACAACATACCAATTAATAACAAGCGCAAAAAACGTGTACACTTGTTTAGAAGATCTGCGTTTATACCTTTACAGACCACTAGAGGGAGTTTAGTGTAGGGTCAGAGAAACATCTAAGGATAATGGGTGATAAAAAGATAGGGTATACAGGTTAGAGACTTTCAACGTAACCCTAGTTAAATGAAAAAGTATCCTTCAATAAAGATAAAAGATTCAGTTAAGAAATACCTTTTTTACTGAAATAAGAAACACGCACTGATTAACAAAATAATTAGTTAAATATAAAAATGCATATTTACGTAACTAGCAAATTATAAATTTAGACATTTAACTCAATCTATCATCTAACTACATTAGTTTACATTTAAACATAATAATTATTAACAAATTTATAAAGTTAACGCGTTAACAAAGTTGTTCGACCAAATATCAAGTTTCTAGGTTTGTGTGAGTCATTTTAACACATATTGTTTCTCATTAACTACCAGTTTTTATTATATCTTAAAACATGTCACCAGGATTGTGTTGGTGCTAAGAACAATTTCAGGAATATTAGATATTGTAAATATGACGTCAAAACATTCCACTTCCTATTTTATGTGTGACAACATGACGTCATATCCTGTCAGTTGGTGAATTATTGCACTGAATCATCTTACCAGCACTACAAAAATTACGAAATAATACTGTAGAGAAATCAAGTTGGTTTTATGAATGTATCGCATTTGAGACAGTAATGAATTATTTTTTGTGTAGAACATTAAATGGAAATATAATTTTTATTTACCAAAATTCGGTAATTTATCCAAAATTTCACTTGAAAATTGGAAATACTGCTAGATAAAAGGTAATGTAGTAAAATATCCAAAATAGGATTAGAATATGTAATAGCATATTAAACCTACAAAATATGTA